CCTTACCACCCCCAGTTTCCAGTCACTGGGCTGCCAGACAGAGGCTTTTCTTCCAGAGTGTTTAAGAGGGTTCCTTTACTCTTGGAGAAGAGGGCAAAGTTGGGGGGCCCTCCTACTCAAGTCCCTGGATGTTTTTCCCAGATGTCGGTAGGAGTGGCCCCAATCTCTGCAGCAGATTTGACATGAAGCTATCCGGTTGGGGGGGTGCATGGCCCTTCTCTTTGATCAATGGTGGTTTCGTATATTTTTCATGGAAGGAGGTCCATTATCTCCTCATAATTCTGAACGCGAAGTGGTCCCATCCTAGGTCCTTGGTTGAACACAGGTTCAACGTCTTCTCCATAATTCCAGGTGCAAGTGGAGTACTGGAATACTTCTTGTCTACTTGGTTGGGGAGTGAGGATGAATGTTCATAATTCCAGACCATCATTCTGAGCCTGGGATGTTGGCTTTTGGATTTCTTCAGGTGGAGGAGAAAGTTTATCCACTTCAGTGTTGCTTACTTTCTTGTTGTGATTCCAGTGGTGCAAAATCCATCACTCTATGGCTACAGGTTTGGATCCAATCCAATAGCCCTAGCCACCAATGTGGGATATAGGTACCAAGACCCCTTAATTCCAACCTAGAGTTGTGGAACCTCAGCTATCTCATTGGGGCTGGCCTATACCGATGGTTACTCATATTCTATTCCACCTTTGATATAGGAACCAAGTTCCAGGTGAAAAGCATACCTGTTCTGATGTAGTGCGGTTCACCCACTCTTGTACCAACTTTGTCTTGGTATGCTCCTGTTCTATACAGATGTTTTCTGTATGGTTCATGTCTGCACCAACCCCTCCACCTTCTCAATGTGGGATTCAAGCTATAATGTCAGCAGAGGTATGTTTTGGAAGTTAACATTTTCCTATATTGAAAATTTATTTCCAATAATACTTACCTCTGCTGGCACTCTCCCACCCTACCTCCCCACTAAAAGCCGGTGTTAGAGACTGGGAAGTGACTATATTATTTAAATGAGGTGCTTATATACAGTACTAGATAGAAGGCACATTGAAGTTGGTGGGAAATTTTGCAAATTAGAATTTTTCAAGGGCATTTGAGTGGGACATAAAAGACTGGAGCAAGCATTTTCAATGCTTAGATGGGCAAAGAGTGGAGATCGAGAAATAGCTATAGTGTTGGCAGAGGTAAATATTATTGGAAATACATTTTCATTTTAGGAGAATGTTAACTTTCACAAGTTGAAAGGGAGAATAAAACATTTTTTTTTTCATGGTAAATTATGGAAGCTAATTTGCGAAGTATATACACACACACACACACACACACACACACACACACACACACACACACACACACACACACGGATGTATGTAATTATAAGAATGAAG